TCTGTCTTTCTCTTTCTCATTCAAAGACATATACACCTGGTAACCTTCAATGTTTGAAAAATGCAGATATATTCAGGTGCCTGCAAGCAGGCACAGGGGCCGGAGTTTCGATCTCTGGGTCTTCTGTGCTAGCCCTGCCCCTAGGACACACTGTGATAGTGATGGAGAGTGGGCATGGCGGCACATACCTGTAATCCCAGCTCTTGGGAGGCTAGAAACAGGAGAATCACTATGAGTCCGTTCTAGTAGCGAGACCCTGAAAACCCTGTAGACCCTTCCCTAAAATACAGAAAAAAATAAAATAAAACATTAAATAATAATTCATTGTATTCCTTGCTCAGTAACTGCATTTTTAGAATCCTTATTTGAGTATCACCTCTATGAATGGTTCTCTGACACTAGGATGAAAATACTCTTCTTGTTCTCTGAGATGTTAAAAAGAATTAATGAAGGTCATGATTTCACCTTGGTACAGAATAAACAAAAATTAAGTCAGTATGTAGGAGGGGAGATAGAGAGAGCAGTCGAGTGTATATTCCCTGAAGTAAAACACTTTGTGATTTGCGGCATTGCAGTTCCTTCTTGGGTGAGCAATTTTAGTGATAATGGAGAAAAGTATGGCAGCCCTTTCCCAGGGCACATGTGCACAGTGCATAAACTAGTCCTTACTAACTGAAGAGTGTTTCTGAAAATCAGGGATGTGTTCCAGACAGGACTTCTTCAGTTAGTGAGGAGCATCTGGGGGAAAGGGGGCAATATCAGGTTTCACGGTCCATTTAAGAGATGTAGAGTGAAGGAGCCCAGAGAGCTGGCATAGAAAACCTTTAGGTTTCTTGTTGTAGAATCAGCATCAAAGAAAGAAGAACCCAGAAGCAGACAGAGCACAGAATAATTGGGAAGCTCACAAAAAACTATGAGTGAGTTTGGGAGACATGTGCATAATTATTACCAGTTGAAGTTGTGGGAAAATCAGATTTGGAATATAACTTATGTGAAGGGATCTGAAGCAAACAAGATACATCCTCCCTTGGAATTTTCCTTTCTTCTTGTCAGGGAAAACATTACTGGGTCCCTTGTATCAACCAGTCATATTACTTACGGATTCTGGAAGAATGCAGGTCTTGACTACACTAAAAGTGAAGTGTGTACTTTCCAGGTAGCAGAGCTGTGAATCATCTTGCTGTCTCCTGGAGATGGGGACCTCTTCCTGGAAACAGTGGACTTTCTCCACAGAGCTTAGGACTACAATAGTGGGTAAAGTTATTCACAGATGCGAGACAGTTTTTTTTTATTTTTTAATTTTTTTGCAGTACTGGGGATTGAACTCAGGACCGTGCACTTGTCAGGCAAACACTTATTCTACTGAACTATCTCCTTGGTCCCGTGGGACAGTTTTAAATGATGACTTTTGTGGCTGGCCAGGAGAATCGATAAGCTATGAGAGGGAGTGTGAGCTGCAAGGATGGGAAAACTGGACAAGAGAAAGAGCGGTGTTAGTTCCTTCAGTAATTCTATGGATAAAAAGGGAGGTGAAGTATACTGCAGGTATAAAATATATTTTGTATTTCAATACAGTATACAAAAATGTTAGGCATCTGAAAGTTCTCATAAATAAAATATATGAGAAGATTTCTTATCATGTGTTACTTCTTTATAATGTGCTTAGTAAAATATTTAAGATGATTAGTGTCCCTAACATTAAATTTCTCTTTGCTGATGGTGGTATAGAAATTGTTTGTTTAACAAATTTTATGGCAGTGTATTTCAACAAAAAGTGTACAGTCATTTTTAAGCCCTACTTATCAAGATATTTCTAGCATTAACAAAGAGTCAGCAGACAAATTCTAATTCAGGTTCTTTAGCCTGGAATTATAGGAGGCTGGAAGATTGTTAGGGCCTCCCTCTTGCTCCCATTCTGTATCTTACAATTGCTCACATTATCCATGAAGCAGTAATGTTCCAAGATATGGAAAATTTACTGTGCATGAATGAATGAATTAAGAAAGGAGTTTTATATCAACAACAAAATTTATAAATATTTGGATTTTTTCTTTTATTTATTCATTTCTTTTTTCTTTTGTTTTACATGTTTTTGTTATAACATGTATATAATACATGATGTTTACAATCCTTGCAGGAAATCTGTACACATGTGTAACATATATGAATTCCTTTATTCTTTCTTCTCTTCTCTTCCCACACATCCTTTGAACCCTTCATTTCCTTCATACATGTTTGCAATGTATTGTGTTTACATCCTTGTGTGGAGTAGCTGCTTGTACGTAACACATCTTAATTCCTTTCAGTCATTCCTTGTATCTCCCCTCTCCCTAAACCTCTCTATCTCCTAGTGCCTTCCCCTTTCAGAAGAAGTATTACTAAATGGGCCAACATGCAAAAAGGTGAAACAAATACATTTTCTTTCACGTAAAGTATAAAATATTTATAAATAGTATATGTATCACTGGTGAAAGGATGAAGTTATACAGTCAACATGTATAAAGAACTTTTGGAAATTATCCCTAACAGTTTTCAGGCAAGTCAACTTCTATAAACTTCAGTAAAGGTAATAAGAAATACCCATATGTTTCACTTATCAGGATGCTTGTGCTCGCCAAACATGAACAAAGGCAAAGCCTCAGGAAAATCATGCCAGGTAGGAGCCTGCTACTTATGGACATATCTGTGGAGGTATGGAGACCATGCCTTTGGAAACAATAATTAGGAGACACACAAAGTGCCATGAATCCTGCTTGGTCAGGAGAGATGATGATCATTGTAATGTACATGTAACTATAGATAATGTTCAGTTTATTGGGCTAAGGTGGTAACATTAGGAATATTTAGATAACATGTATAAAAGACGAACCTATACTAACAAATACATCAGCACATAGATAGATTGAAATTTCAGTAAATAAAATACACTGTGATAGATGGAATTAATAACTCAAGTTCTTCACGCTTCCCTGCACCTCTGTTTACGTGAAAGCCATACCACTAGCAGATTGTACTGCCCCATTCATTATCTTGGGGCTCAGTGCTGAGCCTTGGCTTTGACCAATTCTTACTTAAGCAAAGGTTGGCAATGTAATTGGACATAGAGTTCTACTTGAACTTCTGCCAATACAATTAGAAACAAAAAGTTCTAAGTAGTTTAGTGATTTGAGTCAACCTACCTTGTGAAGCAGAGCCATTTTATAGACAGTGACAACAAAAGCTTCGGTATTAAGATTCTGAGTTTTGTAGTGTTCGCTAGGTAGCAGAAGTGGGCTAATACATGCAGTAAAGTCTAACAATGGCTATAAGAAATTCATATCGAGCCAGGGAGATAGCTCAGTAGAATAAGCACTTGCCTGGCAAGTGCAAGGGCCTGAGCTCAATCTTCAGTTCCGTCAAAGAAAAAAAATGTATTCGAGGGGTTGGGGAGCTAGCTCAGTTGAATAAGCTCAGTTGAATAAGCACTTGCTTGGCAAGCATAAGGGCCTGAGTTCAACCCCCAGTTCCACCAAAAAATAAAATAAAGCAGTCTACAGAGACATAGGGGACGGGGAGATGGCTCAGTGGAATAAGCACTTCTCTGGCAAGCACAAGAGCCTGAGTTCAATCCCTGGTTCTGGAAAATAAAAGAAAGAAAGAAAAAGAAATTTATATTTTAGATTTCTATTCCCTTGTTCATTTACTATAACATGTATATATTCTGAAATGTATTTTAAATTAAAAAAATGAAAAGCCATGAAACATTTCAATTATAGATATTGTATAATTCATAAAATGAGAAAATAAAATAAAATTCAAAGAATAATTTAATTGCTTCTTTTATAATAAAATGCAGACAATTTGAAGATTGAGCTTCTGCTTACCTCTGTCATGTTGGCATGTTGTGTTTGATGAATTTATCCCTTGGAAAGTCATGTCAGTGCTTAATCCCTTTTGTGTGGTTTGTAAGAGGCTGCATACTTAAGCAGAGGTAGTACTTAGCAGTGGGCATGTTGTAGATGAGTGTTATTAGAAAAAAATTTACCAAGACGAGAGCTCCATGGCTGCATTCAGGTGGTTACATAATGAAAGAGAGAGGAAGCTAGTGGACACACACAGAAACTTTTGCCTCCAGGTCTGCGGCCATCCCGTGCCTGTGCTGCCAGCAAGGAAGCTATCACTACATGCAGCCGCTGGAGTGTTCATCACAAACATAAGCCAAAATACAGCTCTTACTTTTACAAACCAGCCAGTCTATAGTATTGCTTTATTATCAGCAGCAAAGAACTGAAATACAGGTTAAAATATATCAGTGTTTAAATCCCTGAGAGTTGGTTTTTCTTTGTTTTGTTCATGGAGCATATTTATCTCATACTGTAGAGTAAGACAAATGTAATACTAAACACAAAGATTGCAGATGCAGACGTTTGTATTTATATCCAAACTCTACTGTCTCCTATTTGTGTGATCATTTTTGAATTAATTAACTTTTCAATGTCTCTTTTTTCACCCGTAGAATTGGCATAATGGTAGTCTCTAAGTTTCAACAATATTGAGAATCGAATGTGAGTTATAAATGTATTCTTATGAGTTCACAAGCATTATGTATATAATAACTATTATTTTTTTCTGTATTTTAAAGAAGGGCCTACTGGGTGTTCAGGGTCTCACTGCTAGACTGGACTCATAGTGATCTGCCTACAGCCTCCCAAGAGCTGGGATTACAGGAGTGCACCACCATGCCCAGTCTCAATCGCTGTCTCAGCATGCCCCAGGGACCCTATGGATACCTTTGATGTTTCAAAAATTAAATCTTAGTTATAATTACTATCTATAATTATC